AAACCAAGATGGAATTCAATTTAATTAACTCGTTTTCATAAATTATAAAATCTTTTTGTGACATATATGTATATACACACACGCACACGCATATAATTTATTACTTTTATGACATCTAGTATAATATGAACGCAGCATTTGCGTTCAGACTGTCATATTTGTGATGTCGCTGATCATATTTTAATGTCTCCTGTCTTGCATCACGATATCTAAAATATGATTTAAGATTATTTATAGCCGAATGTTGTGCAAATGTCTTACAAAATTTTAGAACTTATGAGTTGAATTAGTTAATAAAAGACTTGATTCGAACGCTAAAGAACCTTTATAGCAGTAAAAAATTTCTGTAAAAAATGCATCGTCATAAGAGTCCTAACGATTCGAGTTGATTTGCAAAATTGGCAATTTTGATGTAACACTAATATTTCGATATCCAGGTATTGTAAGAGCACTTGAATTAATGGCTTTACGATGGCCTCGAAATTATCATTATTATTATTATTATCATTGACATAATAGGGCGGGATTTTCTCTGTCAAAAGTTGCTTTTCGGTGCTAAAATGTTGCAACTTTAATAAAATTAGACAGCGTTGTCTGTCGTGCGTAATAAATATTTAATAATTAATGAATAATTAACGACTTGCTATGTTACAGGTTGAAGCGTGAGTCAGTTAATTAATATCTCGTTAAAAGCGGTAATAATTTTCATTTAATGATGTTATGTTTGCTTTTAATCCAACCGCGTTTTATTTAACTTTATTAATTATCTCCGCATATCGTATATTTAAAAAATCATGTTCTTCGTTTATACAATTTTCCAACTACAATCGCTTTTTTTAAATCAATTATTTCGTCACACTTTATGTGCTAGTAGATACTATCTTATCTCGTGATAATGACTTGATAACTCGTGATAAATACGAACACGTTATATACCATTTTTCATTTGCGCTGATTACTTTCCTGATGATTCTTTCGTACAATGTTTTCTGAAACCGCTAATGCTTTATTTATATTATTTTTACCAGACAGAAAGTATAATAACAACTTTCGTGTTAAAATGAACACAACCGAGACGAAAGCCTTTTTCGCGAATTAATATCCAAAGGGATGTGAATATAATTACTAAAATTTTATTTCACGTTTAATATTAAATAAGTTTTAAAAAGAAATTTAAAGTTTAATTACCAAGGTTCCAAAAAATGAGAAGATTACAAAATTTCAGAGGATAGTTTGATATCTTTTCTGAAGACAACCAATACGAAACTCATCAAAATATCTATAATCCATATTAAAAATGCGATTCGTAGACATAATATTAATATGTCTACATTAAATCGAAATAATAGGAATTTTCTTGCATCACATTTTTATGCATACGTAAGAATGATTGAACATATATATTTGAAAGCATCGAGCATACCTCTACAATGACCATATCATAGGGAGGATCTTGCGGTGGGTTTTTGATCAGCTGTTGCATTTTTGGATGGCTCAACAACTGGCAAATGTTATGTCCGGCCACGGCCACCAAATAGGCTATAGATGGAGTGCTAAAAGCTTGTACTTCCTTCGCAGTGACATTGTTCACAACGTGTGGAAGAGTGCCCTTTATACTGATATCTGTGTAATTGGGTATCGGCTTTTCCAACGGAAAATGCGTGACGACATCTACCTGATGACCGCGTCTCGCTAAATCCTTCATCAGTGCTTCTTGCATGATCCAATGACTCTTGCCGTGTAACGGGAATACACCGAGAATTCGCAAACCATTAGCAATTTGGTCACAAGCCAAAATCACGAGGAAAACCGGTAGCAACACCTTCATATTGATTTAGTGAGCTCGTCGCGATTTCGTGTACGTCAATATACGTTACATTCGACCGACACCTTACGTCTTACGTAATCTCTGATCTACCAATGCGCAACAGTGCTCGTTATCGTCGCAACTGGCCAACCACAATTACTGATCACACTTCATTTGGGGGAACACTGGTTATAACTGAAAAAAAGACATGTTATTGTGAAACGAGATAAAGCCTCTTAGGTCAAATGTATTTTCAGTAACGTTCTGTACATTGTGTATGGACTTAATTATCCGTTGACTAAAGATTATTACGCACATAAATTAGTGATATAACAATCTCAATGTTATTATCTCTTTGTAGACGTATGCATTTTGCACGCAAAACACATTATTGCACAATTACAACACGTACGCTTTAATAAACGTCACAGTCATAATTTTTGCAAATTCGTAAATGATACGTGACACTCTAAACTGTATGCACAATGAAGGGAAATTGTACTATTACTCACTGCTCGATAACACATGACAATCTTGTATCAAAATTATAACAACTGGCGAAAAAGACGACTTGATGTTTCCATATATTGCCTATAGTCTGAAGTTTTATAGAGAATGTCTTTCACGAGTTCGTTGGCAGTCAGTTGGTATGAATACTGGCCGTCGACCGTAGACTCCCTCTAGAGAAAAGATACACCAAGATACACGATAATGGAGCTGGAGCGGTAGTGGTGGTAAAATTGCCTCGAGCGATGCGTTCCAAGCGTGTCGGAGTCCATCTGCCGAAGTCCGTCTAAAAATTTCCACGATGTATCTACATACTTCAGAATATACATCTTTTAGATTATGATTTCCATTTATTTTCTATCTTTTTATGATATACCATTTTCATCCGTGTATATTCGTGCGCGCGTATGTACGTATATATGTATACGCACGCACATAGTTGTAGAGGCAAGTTCCCTATTATAGGATAGGCTCCTAATATGATAGCGGAGTTTCTGCTAGTTTAGTTAATCATTATACTAGTCATCGTTATACAACAGGTATAATCGGTAACTTGATCAATATTGCATCACTAAGCAATATTATACCTTGCTTATAGGTATTTATACTTAAAACTGGTACAATTGATTTTTTACGTTACCAGAAGGTAGATTTACATTAGACATCTAACTAAAATACTTTACGCACATATGATTTGATAAAGAAAAATTGTAAGTGATAAATCACAATAAGATTTATTTATTTATTTAATGATTTTAACACTTTTTACATTAATTTTTAAAATTTATGTACTGACATGCAGTTAGTAAATTATTGGAATTCAACATTTTTATATCTCTCTAATATTTGCATATTAAATTCAAAATTTATCGCTTTTCATGCAAATTTCTTTCATACAAGCACATATAGATATGACGTAAAATAAACTTACAATTAACCGGACTGCATTTTATAAGCTTTCTTTATTCTCTATATAAAAATAAAATTTTTAGATTATTTTCTGTTTGCAATCAGTTTTATTAAACTATTTTTTCTAATTGACATCTTCCGGTAAGATTTTTAACAATTTTAGGATTAATTTTGATCCAACACAAATTTAGTAAGAAGCCATCCGTCATAAATGGTTTTTATTTTTCAATATTTTAATATGCGATACTTTCATCTTAAAATTCTATTAAAATAAATCTTGTTTGAAATTAATTAAGAGATAAATTTGGATATACACTTATTTCTTTATTTTTATTATACTATTAAGAGAACTATAGATTTAAAAGCTTATTTTTATATTTCTGTTCTGAACCGTTTGCAAGAGATCTGATCAAGAGAATTTTTACGAGTACAATGCATTCTTTTGATCGAAAAACAATTCCATCAACCGTGAAGATATAAGAATTTTCAAAGTGTATATGCCTTGAAACTGATTCTGACGTGAAATGTTCGCCAAAGGAATATCTGTTAGTGAGATGCACAATGTGTTTTACACGAAACAAAGAAACGTTCAATGTCCGACATATAAATGTTTGTGTGACAGAACGAATGAAGAAAATTTTTGTAACGTAAACGGACACAGACATTAATCCTGGAAAATTTGTACTATTTCCGTAATATTAATAATATACAAAATGTGTGGTTATCTGGCTTGGTAGAAATCGAGGGGAAAATGTTCTATATGGCTTTTTCAGTGATTCTTTCTGTACGATCACGTACGTGTCATTCTCTCAGTCTACTAGTCATACGAGAGAAAGAAGAAAGTGATTTATTTTCAATAAAAGTTAGCGCAATCGCAAGAGGTCTGGGATGAAATCCATGTTATCAGCGTTTCTTCGAAACTTGGATCTTGTAAGCAAATGCGAACTTTCTCGAGCTTGTAACCACGATGAAATCCCTTAAACGTGATTTTGCATTAATACATCTTAAGGTTAGTTCACCTTTTCCACATAAATTCCTCTGTACTCTTTTTACGTACATATGAATTTCTATACACACTCATTCCTCGACTTATGCGAAGTATTTGTTCCACATGATATTTTCTTAATCGCAACTGAGAATCGCGTAAATAAAATCTGTCAGTACAAAAAATATGAAGAGAAAAGCCCGTATATTATTGTACAATATATTATATGTGTATACTCACAGGGTTAGTATAGTGTGTACTAATAAGGTTATCATTCTCTTGCTTGTTCCTATCTGATTATGATAGGAACAGTTTATACCGCTTTATCTGATTATATCTGACCATATCTGATTTGATATACTTATAAATGGATGCATTAAAATTTGGATATAATCTGATCAAATTTTGTCACATCTGACATTATTTGATACAATTAGATAAAATTGGATATATGGCTTTTTTCCCTGGGAAATGAGAAGATTTTATGAGTCTCTTGCGGATCTCGTATATGTGTAGGGAATGTGTGCTTTGTGCGTTAGGATATATTCCTAGTTTTTTAGTGATCATGAGTAATATATTACGTATTGTCTCTTTTTATGACCGTCATAAATTGCATGAGAAATTTGTCCAATTTGCTGTGGACAACTGCCGCGGTGTTATAAATTTTCTTTACGATGTCATTATATTGCTATGTAATTTCTTACATATTGAGATTTAATCTCGGCGCGCTGTCAAACGCATTTTACGAGATCATTGGTCTGTTATAATCTCCTATTCAAACTCTTATTTCAGAGCCGTACTGTCGATTCACTTTCGACGGGTGGTCCTGTTGGCCAAACACTCCAGCGGGATCAACAGCTTATATACCGTGTCCTGATTTCATCACCGGCTTCGATGCATCGCGTAAGTACACGTGCGATAATACGATAAAATTAATCCCGCTGACGTTTTATCTGTTTTCAATCAACGATTAGACGTTATTAATCATTGCTATAACTAATCACTACTGTTATTTTCCATTTGAAATTCTACTTGCTTCAGTGAAATAAGTCTTGCTTGTGTAACTAGCATGTGGCAACTATTTCTATATTCTTTCGAAGAGATGATTTGAAATATTACACATTTCAAGTCTCTTTTATTTTATATTACCGTCCCTCCTCTCTTTCTCTTCCTCTCTCTCCCTCCCTTATCTCTCTCATATGAAAGATAATAGTAAATGATTTGCCTCTTGTTATATGATTTCGTTATACATTAACTTGGTAATTTTACCTCTTTAGTAAAGGTAAAATACTTTACATCTCAATCTACCCATTCGATGATATCAGCTATTCATTTGGTTGAAATGTTCGTTTCGCACGATCTATAATTTGTGAAAGAATTCACGATAGAATTCTCTGTTCGTACAATACGTTCATGGATACATCAACGGATATGTTTAGCATTCTGGCTCGCTGTTCGTCAGTTATTTTTGTCGATGCTAACACATAAATAACATTTGAACTATTCAAAATCATTTTAACGTCTTTAAAGCCGTACATCTTAAAGTAGCACAAATTCTCTTCCTTCGAAATCGTGTATTTTAGAACAAAGTTTTTTAAAGGAGATTTATATGTTTAAAAAAGTCATACGTCGTAAAGAATGCACCCATTAATTGTTTCGAAAATGTACTGATAATAAATAATTTATTGATACATGTTGAATTATACACGGAGAGAATTTTCTTTTAAAATTTACCTTGAAAATCATGTAATCGTAGGACAACGTGGCATTTTGAAGAACTTTATGAGTTTTTTCAAATTTTACCATACATTTTACTAGTAAAATGTATACTAATTATATGTACAATTACTAGTATAAAGTATGATAAAATTTCAAAAAAACTCTCGTAAAACTCTTCAAAATGCCATGTTGTCTCACGATTACATGATTTTCAGGATAAAGAGAAAATTCTCTCCGTGTACAGTAAGACGTAGTACTTAGCTCCTTTCATTCATTTAATCATACAGTTTTCAAGTCAATCCGTTTCCAAAATATTTGTAAAAATAATTGTATAAAACAGTCGTGACAGCAGGATCTTGTATTGTTCGAAACTTTTTGACGAGTTGATTGTAATCTTACGTGTCGGGCCGTTTGGATCCACGACAGTAGCATCATCATAGCCATAAAACAGGAATACGTATTACGAGATTTATTAGGAGGCTTTCTATGACGTTACACTGGAGTTCTTTCAATTCATTATCGTTCATATATATCTGGCATAACAAATACTTGAGAACCTCGGGCATAAGATTAAATGCGACGAGAAGATATTAATTAATTCGGATAATTGTTGACCGATTCTCAGGCCAAAAGATTCCTCGCTTGAAGATTCCTTGCATTCTTATAAACGCCTTCGCATACAATAACAGTAAATAAGACAACGTATCGAACTTCGCGCACCTTCGATACTGTGACCCGCGTTTTCTCCGACCTGTTTACTTTGGATTGAAGGATTTACGAAATGATCGATCAGCGATGTGTTCGAACTTGTCGAAGGACTGTACAGTCAGTATAATGGCGAAAGAATGACCAGGAGCCTCGTGCGAGAAACGTATATGCGTTGTTTCGCACGCTCGTCCCGACAAGGGGTTAAGAAACAACGACGTATCACGTTAGAATTGTACTACGAACGTTAGTTGCCTTATTGTTAGACAATGCTGTGAACAATGCTTGTTTATTTTTTACCTCTCATTTATTTCTCAGACATGTTACACGACATATACAGCAATTCTATGGTAAAGATGATAAAGCAATGTCTCAATCGAATTTAAAGTCAATTTTTCTGTAAAGAAAATATTAATTGCGAGAAGAAATATTAACGGTATTCTCCAGGGAAAACTTTGACACGAAGTTCTTAAAGTTTAATTTAAACGAAGAAAACAATTTTGTTATAATAATGAAATAATTTACTTTTAAATTTAAAAGAATTGAGTATACGCATATATTACAAAACACAAAAAATAACTGGATAAACTGTGATCTGAACGGAATATATATTATAAAATAAATATAAGAGAGAATATTTATTCGAAGAGATGTATGTGTCACGTTAACAATACAAAAAGCACACAAAATTTAATGCTGTAGGTATATTAAACATAACAATATTTTATTATTGTTTCTCATTTTATTTACGTTACGATAGTTAATCTTATCGAGTAATCCTCAATCAATATTCAGTTAAAATTATTTAAAATTCAGCGACTAGTAGCAATTTACTAGTATTTTTAAAGTTTAACTCGTGAAAAACTACTTATTTCTAGTAAATCGTAGTCGAAAAACATTATCTTCATTTTTGTACTAATTAAGACCTGATCGTGAACTTGGGGAACAATAGTAGTGCCCATATTCCGCGTGAGTTTAAAAATATCCTTGAAAAGCCCTGAGAGAATATTTCTCATAAACACAGAACTTAGATTTCTCATCAGGAAAAGTACAATTTTAAAATCCAATTGTTAACGTAAATTAAATTTTAACGTCGCAACTTATTTTTTTTTCTCTTCCCAATTCCACCTTTCTTCTCCTTTACGGAAGACTTGTATTTGCGAGTTTGTATCGATATTCAGATAATTATATTTTCCGCTTTGTGAACCAGTTATCGGCAACCAGGCTTTTGTAAGAGGCGTTGGATTTCTAAATCAGATTAAAAATTAATCATTAATACGTGATTAATAACATTGAAATATCGTAATAAAAAGACACACAAAATATTCCAAGAAAGAGATTAAATTTCTCATACCCTGTTTTAGCAAAATCTGTCCACATTTTCGTTAAACACTTTATCATCTTGTAGTCTTCCGAATCAACTGCAGGTGGTGACATGCCGAGATTTTTTATCATATAAGGATAAAACAAGAACCCCAGATCCTCGGCATGAGACACACCTAAAAAATATTGTTTAACTATTAATTAAATCTATAAATTCATCTTCTATATACTTTAACTAACAGATTACTTTTTATATTAATAAATAAACTCAAATTAAATTTACTATAAGATAGAACCATTTTTGTTTCCTTAAAATAACTTACGTACAGACTTAGAAATTAGGAAATTTTGAAACGTTTAGAGTTATTTTATGTTGTAATTATGATGTAAGTACTTTCTAAAATTTAAAGTTATTAGATAGTCTTAAATTAATTAGTGATAATACCTGGAGCCTGAATTTTAAATATTTTTCTCATGGGAGAAGCATCACTCTCGTACGAAAATTTGTACAGATACGTTGCTTCATTATTTTTCAGTTTTGCCTGAATATCCACTACTTCCATTGCACCACGACAGAGGAATTCGTCGCTCAGAAAATCACAGTAATTCATAAAAGTTTCCTCTGATATTGCTTTGTCACCAAAATATAAAGATCGCAATTCCTCGACTGTGACTGATATTTTCGATAATATAGACAAAAATCTGGGTAACATGGATTCCTTAAAATTGGAATCAATTCGTTTAAAATCTTCTTTGTTTAAGCCTGAAATATTAAAGACATTCTGTAGTACTGACCGTTATACATATTGTTGTATGATACGTAATAAATATTTTAACAAATCTTTCTTTCACGTTAGGAAATAAATAATTAAAGCATATTTGCCAAAGCGGATTTGTTGTCAAAGCATTACAAACAATGCATATAGTGTGGTCTGATAAAAATGATGCTACATGATACATAAATAATACTGCATATGAAAAAATATAATATTTATCTCAACAATTGTACGGTAAATTTAACTATGCATAGGCGAACAAAACGATAAAGTAACGCTATCTTGACTAACATGTTATTTTGGTGAATTATTTTGATTTTTATATGTATATGCATTCGAACATCATGGATTAGTAAAATTTACTAACTTTAAATAGATAAATGTTCAATCTTACTCGCGAAAATTTGACGTAATTGTAAATATTGAGAATACACATTTACAAAATCACCTAATACTAATGTTATTTTCAACAGAACACATTCTATACAAATTTAAATCAATTAAAAATGGATATTTTATAAATAATACATGGAGACAAAAACAAAACTCACGTCCGACTGGGTTACTGCATATAACAATAGATCCTTCGTTACTGTTAAAACCTAAAAGGAATGGTACTTTAACCCCGTTGCACATAAGCGTCTCTGGATCTTCTGGGAAAACTGGATTTGATGATTCGTGATCCCAAGAGAGTGTAAATATCATATGATAATTTTTACTTTCCTACGAAGAAGATGTTATCAAAGCAAGTATTGTTTAAACAGTAGCACACTGTAATCGCATTCGCCTGTATTGGTTTGATGCATAGGTTTATCCCGTTTTTAAACATTCGCGCACTTTTTCGATCTGCTATCAACTTCACACTTATATGATGTATTAAACATTTGAAAGTAGCAATTGAACGGAAACTTTCCCGTCAAATTTGTTGTCATCGATTGATGTTTGTGAGTCATGTAAATTGAAAAACATGGATAAAAATAACTTTGGACATATTATGCTTTTTTATTTTCGAAAAGGCAAAACTATCTTTCAGAACAAAAGAAAAATATATTCTGCCTATAGAGAAGATGCTATTGATGATTCCACCGTTCGTAAATGGTTCCGACGATTCCGTAATGGAAATTTTTATCTCACGGATGAGAAACGTTCTGGACGACATTCCGAAATTGACAGTCACCAAATCTCGACCTTGATTAAATGATTAAAACTGATTAGCATTATAAAACAACTCGTGAGATTGCTGATATCACTGATTAAATGTATATTGACAAAATATAATAGATATTAAATTTTTCGTTTGAAAACGGGACGAACTTCTGCATCAACCTAATATAATTGTAATTAAATATTTAGATAATTACATTTTCCGTTAAAAGACATTTTCGTTCAGTTTCTATAAGCTTCTTTGCATCGATTGTTTTGAGAAACTCGTAAGCGACTTTCGGATCTGCGGTCGCTTTTCCAAGTTTTCCGGCAAGCTGAAAACCTTTGTTTTTCGAATGTGGTTGTTCGGTAAAAGCCCAAGGACACCTCATGACGCCGCTTTGCGCTATCGCTTTATGAAATAAACCTATAAAACAATCGTAACAAAATTCCATACATTTTCATCATCATAGAACTTTTCTTCTTTCTTTTCCGTAATGCACAAACTATCTTAGAATCAATTCAGGGTCTTGTAATCATCGATTGCTTAATCACTTTGTGATAGGTTTTATCTTACTAAAAATATCTCTCTCTCTCTCTCTCTCTCTCTCTCTCTCTCTCTCTCTCTCTCTCTCAGGAAGCTATTAGTTGTTTTAACATCTCACCAATATGAATTTTTAATTAAAATTTCAATCAACTATATAGAAATGTTTAATAACAAATTTATTTTAAATATAATCTTATATGAAACTTATTGAAAAAAGACAGAATGGATTTGTTATTTATTCAATTAATTCGTGGAGTTTTGTATTTTCCTTATCGCAACATATTATCAACATATTAGCGTGATTAGCGTTTAAACATGATTAGCGTTTAAAATGAAATTTCGTCGATGAAAATTCGCGGTCAAATTATAAATAAATTCATTATTAAATAGGACGGAATTTGAAGATTTAAAATTATTGTGAGTGTATCGATAAGTTTATATTGACAAAATATACTGTACCTTTAGCTAACGGAGACACAGTTAAACAATGTACGATGGCTCCACCAGCACTTTCGCCAAAGATAGTTACATTTTCCGGGTCACCACCGAACTTTGATATATTTTTCTGGACCCATCGTAACGCCATGATTACATCCTTCACACCTTGATTACCCGTTGCCACTTTGTCGTTAAGGTTTAGGAAACCTGGTCATATTAATACATGTTTTTTCATAGGTTAATTCATTTGAATTAAAAGTAAATGCAGAACGAATATAGTCTAGTTTCTTTCTATTTTATTTCATAGTAAATGGTTGTGCAAGTGAAATAATTGGTGAAATAGATATAACATAAATACTCACAGTATACTAAATGTCACAAATAATTGTATACTGAAACGAACAACGTACCTAGAACGCCTAGTCTATAATTCAAGGTAACCAAAACTACATCTTTGGGTACGATGTAATCGGGGCCATAGAAGAAATCATCGCCAGAACCCACATAAAAGGCACCACCGTGTATCCATACCATCACTGCACGTTTCTTTGAAGGCTCGACTTTCGTGGTGTACACATTTAAGTAGAGACAATCTTCATCGCCCTCAATTTTGTGTGTGAATTCATTCAGTTGAACGGCGACATTTCCGTGCTTCGAGGCGTCTCTCTCACCGGTCCATGGTTCCGCTGGTACCGGATCCTAAATACATAAAATCGTTTATACATAGGATTTTTCAAAATTCGCGCACACCGTGCAATTCTCTATGCTAGATGAAACTTTTTTTATGCAAAATTGCATAAAAACATATTATATAATAGGATTATAATCATGAAAGAATAACAGATTATATAATCATTACATAACACAACTAACAAACAGTCTTATCACAGTATCGTTTAGGCCCGGTCTACAATGAGTTGTTAGTCGTTAGTCAGAAGTCGGAACTATACAATGTCGGTCCTTTTTCTTCCACCCAGAAAGGAAAAGGATCAACATATAGTTGCGACTTCTGACTAACGACTAACGACTCATTGTAGACCGGGCCTTAATCATAATTTTCTCTAGAAGAGTTGACTTTTTGTATTTCTCTAATTATCTTGATGCGCGATAAGCGATCAATTAGTTCAAATTTCTAAAATTATTTTGTCTCATTCTTAAAATCTATTCATAATTATAGAATTTGATATATTTACCTTAAATCTAAGTTCCCCAATTGGCGGTTTCGCATATGGTATTCCTCGGAAAGCGTTATAGTAGTCGCCGTAAAAACCTTTCTCTAGAGTACCAATTAATTTTCCTTCGTGCACGCATATTTCAACTTTGTTGCTGTCCATATTGAATACGCTGATAGACTGACGAGAAAACTAGCGTATATATTAGTTCTCGTTGTGTAGATTGTGAAAGATATCAATTTCAAGGGGCGTTGCATAATAGAAGTGTAAGAGTCGAGTAGGTTGATAAAATTCTATTTATAGCCTGTGATGATGATGTAACATTTTGTAAATACACTCGTAAGTAAACTTGTATTTCCTTTCTTGTTATACAATTTCTCAATGTACAATTACTTACGATGTGTCTTGCTATCCCGAGATGTGCATGGAATATGAAGAAATCGCTTTCCGGTGTACTATAAACGTAAATTAACCCACGGAATTGTAACAATATAATTGAAGAAAAGATAAAATCTTTTTATTAATCACACATAGAATTTAAATCTGCATAACAATTAGTTGAAATTATTTTTAAATTTCACAGATAGATGTTAAAGAAAAAAAGAATCACATATTTCGGAAGTTTACAGGTGTCTACTGTTTGATAATAGGTGTAACGTCTGCATGCCATGGGTAGAGTGGGTTAAACTGAATAGAAAAGTTTGTACCAGTTCGTAATTATATAATACATACCATGTATGTGCAATAAAAATAATGAAAAATTAATTAATAAAGATCTGTAAATTAGTATGCGTCTACACGATTTGGCATTGAGAGACAGTTCAGCGTTTATATACGCGTCTAGTGGTTGTCACGCGTTCAGGGATCTAGACCAAATATTAAGTGTGCTTTTCCTCCTTTCTTACAAGTATTAAACTCTATCTTTCTTTCGTGCATGCGTGTGCGTTTGCGTGCACGCGTGTGGGTTATGAAATAGAGATTAGAAATTTAGATGTTATATTTCAACGATTTAGCAGTGCCAAGTTTTTTTAATAACCAATAATGTTGTGAATCAGGACAGATATGTATCCAACAATTAAATTAGAAAGGCCATCTTTTAATAGAGTATTTATTTGTATTAAAGTTGTTTGCAATACATTTTTATTGAACAAGTATAAGAATTTGTCTCATTAGTATTATTGTCTCCTTTATTGCTTTCGGTAAAATCTTATGCTCGATTGTTTGGATATAACGTTTTAATATCAAATGTAATAAAGTATCTACCGCCACCACTGATTTAAGCAGGACTTTACTCCCCTGGTCACTAATCTTCTTGACTGAAACTTCGGCAGAGTGAACCCTAACCCTTGTATCGATTGAATAATAGTTACACTGATACATTTTTCGCATTTGGGACTGATTTTGAAATTTTGACCCACCCCCAGCACTGGAGTTTACTCTCCTGTAGCGTGATTCTGTAACTCGTTATGTCGTCGTTACGGGCTTTGCGCAGATCTAATATACCGTAGAAAAGCTGCGCAAAGCCCGTAACGACGACATAACGAGTTACAGAATCGCGCTACAGGTCTCTAGTCTTAGTTTCCGTTTACGCGCACTCGGTGAAGTCGGTAACGTTAGTCACGTCAGCCGCGCCAGTGACACTTACGAGCGCGACGTTGCATCAGAAATATGAAAAGGACGTTTTCCTCACCACTGCTTGGGCTGCATTCGGGGAGATGCCATTTAGCGCTATGAGCGTGCTCTGTCCTTGTTACTTGCAAAAGTTGAACAAGGACAGCATACGCTCATAGGGCTAAATAGCGCCTCTCCGAACGTAGCCTTGGTCGACGTTGACCAAGACGACGACGGCGTTTCTTAAATAAAAATATCACAATTCGGATTTTGCATTACATTATTTCCACTTATGGGGCACGTAGGAGAAAAAAAACACTTTTATTTATCATGCAAATCGAACCCAAGCTATCGATTGAGTCTACTTAGAAGTTTATCGGATCAGCCGTTGTTGAGATCCGAAAATCTGAGGGCCTGTCATCTCGCGTCCTTACATAAACTACACGGTCGGTCTCGTGCACGCAGTTCTAGCTACGCTTATACTTGATGCGAGACACTACCGTATCTCGTGATTTTAACGTCGCAACTTATTTTTTTTCTCTTCCCAATTCCATCTTTCTTCTCCTTTACGGAAGACTTTTATTTGCGAGTTTGTATCGATATTCAGATAATTGTATTTTCCGCTTTGTGAACCAGTCGTCGGCAACCACGTTTTTGTAACAGGCGTTGGATTTCTAAATCAGATTAAAAATTAATCATTAATACGTGATTAATAAAAGTGAAATATCGTAATGAAAACATACACATAAAATATTCCAAGAAAGAGATTAAATTTCTCATACCCTGTTTTAGCAAAATCTGTCCACATTTTCGTTAAACACTTTATCATCTTGTAGTCTTCCGAATCAACTGCAGGTGGTGACATGCCAAGATTTTTTATCATATAAGGATAAAACAAGAACGCCAGTTCCTCTCCATGAGACACACCTATAAAATATTGTCTTTATAAAATATTGTTTAACCATTAATTGAAACTACAAATTCATTTTTTAAATACATTAACAAACAGATTACTTTTAATATTAAATAAAATTAAATAAAATTTACTATAGAATAGAACTATTTTTGTTTCCTCAAAATTATTTACCTAGTATAGACTAAAGTAGGAAATTAAAAAATGTTTAGAGTTATTTTATGTCGTAATTATGATATAAGTACTTTCTAAACTTTCAAGTTATTAGATAGTCTTAAATTAATTAGTGATAATACCTGGAGCCTGAATTTTAAATATTTTTCTCATGGGAGAAGCATCACTCTCGTATGAAAATTTATACAGATACGTTGCTTCATTATTTTTCAGTTTTGCCTGAATATCCACTACTTCCATTATACCACGACAGAAGAATTCATCGCTTAGAAAATCACAGTAATTCGTAAACGTTTCCTCTGATATTGCTTTGTCACCAAAATATAAAGACTGCAATTCCTCGGCTGTGACTGATATTTTTGACAATGCAGATAAAAATCCGGGCAACATGGATTCCTTAAAATTGGAATCAATTCGTTTAAAATCTTCTTTGTTGAAATCTGAAATATTAAAGACATTCTGTAGTACTGACCGTTATACATATTGTTGTATGATACGTAATAAATATTTTAACAAATCTTTCTTTCACGTTAAGAAATAAATAATTAAAGCATATTTGCCAAAGCGGATTTGTTGTCAAAGCATTACAAACAATGCATATAGTGTGGTCTGATAAAAATGATGCTTAATGCATGATACATAAATAATACTGCATATGAAAAAATATTATATTTATCTCAACAATTGTACGGTAAATTTAACTATTCATAAGCGCACAAAACGATAAAGTAACGCTATCTTGACAAACATGTTATTTTGGTGAATTATTATGGTTTTTATACGTATATGCATTCGAACATCATGGATTAGTAAAATTTACTAACTTTAAATAGATAAATGTTCAATCTTACTCGCGAAAATTTAACGTAATTGTAAATATTGAGAATACACATTTACAAAATCACCTAATACTAATGTTATTTTTAACAGAACACATTCTATACAAATTTTAAGCGATTAAAATAGACATTTTATAAACAATTCATAGAGATAAAACAAAACTCACGTCTGGTTATGTTACTGCTTATAATAAAAGATCCCTCGTTACTGGTAAAACCTAAAAGAAATGGTACTTTAACCCCGTTGCACATAAGCGTCTCTGGATCTCCCGGGAAACATGGATTGGATGACTCGTGATCCACGGAAGGTGAAAATATCAAATGAAAATTTTGAAGTTCCTACGAAGAAGGTGTTATCAAAGAAAGTATCGTTTACACAGAAGCATACTGTAATCGCATTCGTACGTATTGGTTTGATGCGTAGGTTTATCTCGTTTTTAAACATTGTGCACTTTTTCGATCTGCTATCAACTTCACACTTATATAATGTATTAAACATTTGAAAGTAGCAATTGAACGGAAACTTTCCCGTCAAATTTGTTGTAATCGATTGATGTTTGTGAGTCATGTAAATTTATAAACATGGATAAAAATAAGCATCACTTTGGTCATATTATGCTTTTTTATTTTCGAAATGGCAAAACTGTCGTTCAGATCAGAAGAAAAATATGTTCTGCCTACAGAGAAGATGCTATTAATGATTTCACCGTTCGTAAATGGTTCCGACGATTCCGTAATTGAAATTTTTATCTCACGGATGAGAAACGTTCTAGACGACATTCCGAAATTGACAGTAACGAAATCTTGGCCTTGATTGAAACTGATTATCGTTACAAAACAACTCGTAAGATTGCTGATATCACTGACTAAATGTATATCGACAAAATATAATAGGTATGATATTTTAAAAACGGGACGAACTTATGCATCAATATAATTGTTATTAAATGTTCAGATAATTACTGTTTCCGTCAAAAGATATTTTCGTTCAGTTTCTATAAGCTTCTTTGCATCGATTGTTTTGAGAAACTCGTAAGCGACTTTCGGATCTGCGGTCGCTTTTCCAAGTTTCCCGGCAAGCTGAAAACCTTTGTTTTTCGAATGTGGTTGTCGTTCGGTAAAAGCCCAAGGACACCTTATGACGCCGCTTTGCGCTATCGCTTTATGAAATAAACCTATAAAACAATCGTAACAAAATTCCATACATTTTCATCATCATTATAGAACTTTTCTTCTTTCTTTTCCGTAATGCACAAACTATTGTTAGAATCGATTCAGGGTCTTGTAATCATCGATTCCTTAATCACTTTGTGATTAATTTTATGTTACTAAAAATATCTCTCTCTCTCTCTCTCTCTCTCTCTCTCTCAGGAAGCTATTAGTTGTTTTAACATCTCACCAATATGAATTTTTAATTAAAATTCCAATCAACTATTTAGAAATGTTTAATAACAATTTTTTTGATAATTTATATAAAACTTATTGAAAGAATACAGAATGGATTTGTTATTTATTCAATTAATTCATGGAGATTTTTTCCATATCTCAACATATTTAAAACGCAATTTTGTTGATGAAAAATTGCGGACAAATTATAAATAAATTCATTATTAAATAGGACGAAATTTGAAGATTTAAATTATTGTGAGTTTATCGATAAGTTGATAGTAACAAAATATACTGTACCTTTAGCTAACGGAGACACAGTTAAACAATGTACGATAGCTCCACCAGCACTTTCGCCAAAGATAGTTACATTTTCCGGGTTTCCACCGAACTTTGATATATTTTTCTGGACCCATCGTAACGCCAAGATTACATCCTTCACACCTTGATTACCCGTTGCCACTTTGTCGTTAAGGTTTAAGAAACCTGGTTATATTAATACATGTTTTTTTATAGGTTAATTCATTTGAAATAAACATAAATGTAGAAGGAGTATAGTCTAGTTCCTTTGTATTTTATTTGAAAGCAAATGCTTGGGCAGGTGAAATAATTGATGAAATAGATATAACATAAATACTCACAATATGCTAAATGCCACAAATGATTGTATACTGAAACGAACAACGTACCTAGAACGCCTAGTCTATAATTCAAGGTAACCAAAACTACATCTTTGGGTACGATGTAATCGGGGCCATAGAAGAAATCATCGCCAGAACCCACATAAAAGGCACCACCGTGTATCCATACCATCACTGCACGTTTCTTTGAAGGCTCGACTTTCGTGGTGTACACATTTAAGTAGAGACAATCTTCATCGCCCTCAATTTCGCGTGTGAATTCATTCAGTTGAACGGCGACATTTCCGTGCTTCGAGGCGTCTCTCTCACCGGTCCATGGTTCCGCTGGTACCGGATCCTAAATACATAAAATCGTTTATACATAGGGTTTTTCAAAATTCGCGCACACTGTGCAATTCTCTGTGCTAGATGAAACTTTTTTTTATGCTAAATTGCATTCAACTAGTAGGAAATGAGAATAATGTGTAGCTAACAAATGAATTTTCGTATGAATCAGGAACTACGTGTACTGGACGTCCATAGTCTATGCTATTTAATTATTTTTCTTTCGTAATGAATATCTTTAAACTTCATTACTAATTTATATTATTAGCGGATTATTTAATAAATTGGAAGATTAATTTATGTATTGATTATGAATACATTGTTTTAATTCGTTAATTTCTCTAATTGCATGTGGAAACATTGTTTTATCACAATCTTCTTTCTGTAAGCAACAGACAGATTATAAGATTATATATTAATTACGTAATATAACTGATAAATAATTTTATCAGTGCCGTCTAATTGTAATTTTTTCTGAAAGAACAAACCTTTCGTATTTTTCTTATTTTTTTAGGATATGATAAACTATTAATCCTGGCTGAGGTAATATTTTTCGCAATAAGAATTTTAATTTAGTATGGGGAGTAAGGGTTATTGTAATGAATGCTAAGTATAACATTTGAAATAATTATCAAATCGTTTAGCGATTTTTATAACACGTGAATTCGCTGACGATAACGATTCCACCTAACGAAAATCTATTTTATATGTCCGGTAAGTAACGGCGCGCAGGACAGGTTGGAAAAAGACGGTATATGGATTCACTTGTTAGTAATTTAATTGGCCACTTCCACCTGTGCCAGGTCCTAAAAATGGCGTTTATGTTTCAAATTGATTTATATGATAAACAATGAAGTTGAAAAATTAATTAATATTTTATATTATTATTTGATTTTTACATATGTATAGATAAAAACATATTATATAATAAGGTTATAATCTTTATAGTCATGAAAGAAAAACGGATTATATAATCATTACATAACACAACTAATTTGCAGTCTTATCACAGTATTGTTTAATCATAATTTTCTCTAGAAGAGTTGACTTTTTGTATTTCTCTAATTATCTTGATGCGCCATAAGCGATCAATTAGTTCAAATTTATAAAATTATTTTGTCTCATTCTTAAAATCTATTCATAATTATAGAGTTTGTTATTCTTACCTTAAATCTAAGTTCCCCAATTGGCGGTTTCGCATATGGTATTCCTCGGAAAGCGTTATAGTAGTCGCCGTAAAAACTTTTCTCCAGAGCACCAATTAATTTTCCTTCGTGCACACATATTTCAACTTTGTTGTTGTCCATATTGAATACGCTGAAAGACTGACGAGAATACCAGCGTATATATTAGTCCTCGTTGTGTAGATGTATATGTGAAAGATATGAATCAATTGCAAGAGACCTTGCATTGTAGATGTGCAAAAGCCGAGTATGTTGATAAAGTTTTATTTATAGCCTGTAATGATGATGTAATATTTTGCAAATGTACGCGTAGGTAAACTTGTATTTCCTTTCTTGTTATATTTCTCAATGTATAACTACTTACGATGCGTCTTGCTATCCCGAGATGTGCGATAAATATGAAGAAATCGCTTCCCGATGTACTATAAATGTAAATCAACCCACGAAATTGTAACAATATAATTGAAGAAAAGATACAATCTTTTTATTAATCACACATAGAATTTAAATCTGCATAACAATTAGTTGAAATAATTTTTAAATTTCAGATAGATGTTAAAGAAAAAAAGAATCACATATTTTGGAAGTTTACAGGTGTCTACTATTTAGTAATAGGTGTAACATCTGACATGTCATGGGTAGAGTGGGTTAAATTGAATTAGAAAAGTTCTGTACCAGTTTGTAATTATACATATGATATGGGCAATAAATAATGAATAATTAATAAATAAAGACCTGTGAATTAGTATGCGTCCACACGATTTGGCAATGAGAGACAGATCAGCGTTTATATACGCGTCTACACGCAAAGAAAAGATTAGTCAAAAGAGCTAAAATTTAGCAGTGACAGGTAAAATGTGTCTTTGAAATAGGGACTGCTAATGTTGTTGCTGCCAAACCTCAATTTATTAGCTCTTTGAATTTTGTTACTGCAGCGAAAAATATCAGCTGTTAGGAACAAATAATATTTAGATGTATGTACATACAGAGGCGCAGAAACGTACGTCGAACAGCATTATAGGACGAAAAGAACGATACCATGCCGTTGTATTGTACCACGAAGTAATGATACGTTGATATGCAACGTCTCAAAAACAATTGCCAATCGCATGTCGGGATCGCGCGCGTAATATATTTCGAAGTAGCTGCTATTTTCTTAGCTGCTCGTGCTAAGTGCGCTATTCTTTCCAACTAATAAAGTTGTATCTCGTAGTAATTGAATTTTATCTATAATCACCAATTTTTAGCAATGGCAACAAAACATTTAGCCTTTTAACTAATTTCAAAGCAGCTACTGCAATTTAGCTGATATTACTAAATCATTTTTTTGCGTGTAAGTAGTGGTTGTTACGCGTGCAGAGATCTAACGTCACGCGTTATTCCTGCATAGTCATTCTTGTTTACAATGCACTTCTCCTAATGTCTTGTCGCGCGCTTAGCAACAACAGACTTATTATCAGATACCGTATATACAGGGTATTATGTAATATCCGCCTCACTTTTATTTATGGATAGAGCGGACTAGACTGACAATGAGTGAAATATCCTATACTCTTTTGCAATTTTCGCAATAATTAACCAGTTATTAATTTTTAAAAATCGCTGTTTTAGCCCGGCCTACCACCCAATTCAAGCTGGCGACGAGATGCGGCCGTCCCGCGATATAAAACATTATTTTTATGAATTTGAAATTAAATGTTATTCTTAATAAAGAGTTCGAGATTTTTGTCATAATTTGAAATCATTGTTTGCTATATTTACAAATAAGCCTCAAATTATTAATAAGTTAAAAAGGCCACTAAAGTTTGACGAGTAATGTACCACATTATATTTGTATATCTCATTTGTATATTTCTTTATTTTTATTAATAACATTTTCGGTAATAAAATTCAAATCAATTTGAAATTTTACGCTGAAAAGAATATTAATACATTGCAACTTCTATAACAATGCAAGATATAACAGTATTTATTTTCATCATTCTTTTTCATAGTTAATATTTTACATAATGTAATTTTAAATACAATAGATATTTTTCCACAAACGATGTCAATCATAAAATTAAAAAATATAATATTTATCACAAATTCAATGACTAAGAAACATAATTTTAATATAAATAATGTTTTAACAGACAGAATCTCATAATTTGTGTTTCATATTCTTCCAATCGCAGCGCTGTTCTCCTTTACGAACATTTTCCATCCGAGGTTTAATATCAATATTTAAATAATCATATACATCTCCGTGCTTTAATGGAGTCCATTTAATTGGTGTCAAATCCGTAATAGCAGGCGTTGGATCTCTATAAATTGAAAATTAAAAATTAAATATTAATATGCAATTATAAATTATATTATCTGTGACGTTCGAAAAAATATTAAGTTTATCGTACCCAGTTTTAGCAAAATCTGTCCACATCTGCGTTAAGCAATCCATCATTTTATAGTCATTTGAATTAGGTGCAAGTGGTGGCATATTGAAATCTTTCATCATACAAGGATAAAATAAATAAAACAATTCTTCGCCATGGCTCATTCCTACAAAATATTGCCATATAATAGATCAATCTTAAAAACGCAAACTAAATTTCCACTTTTAAAATATAATATTTATAAATACTGCAAGATATAATCTTTAGTCTTTTCAAATAAATTATTTTGAAATGTTTGAGGCACTGTCGATTTCTTATAATGATATATGTATAGAAATTCCGAGTCGTTTGTTAACATTAAAATATGAAATACTCGTATTCTTTAAAAGATTAAAGGCTTTTATGTGGTTTTATGTACACATATGAATGAAATAGTGATATTACCTGGGAGTGTTATACCCAATAATGTCTTTGAGAGGTTTCCTTCATATGAAACTTTATACAGATACGTTGGCGTGTAAGTACTAGAACTCATTTGGATATTGACCACTTCCATAGTACCGCGATAGAACATGGCATCGCCAAGAAAATCAGCGTAATTCATTAGAGTTTCTTCTGATATCGCTTTGTTACCAAAATATAAGAATCGTAATTCTTCGACCGTGATTGGTATCTTTGGCAATTCAGATAAAACTCTGGGCGTTATAGCCTTCTTAAAATCGGAATCAATTTGTTTAAGAGCCTTACTGCTTATGGCTGAAACGATTTTGAAAACTTTATTACTTTTAACAATTAAACATATATATACAAATAATATCAATGTGTCTTATTCTTAGTAGGTTACGTAGTATGAAAATTCATATGCTACAGTGGCCAGAGATATATTTAGTGAACGCACTTACATCCTACAAATGAACTGCCTATGAAAAAAGACCCTTCGCAACTGGTATTTCCTAAAAGGAACGGCACTTTAACTCCGCGGTGTATTAACGTGCATGGGTGTTCCGGAAAGAATGGATTTGAGGATTCGTAATCTAAACTGGGTGTAAATATTACAATATGTCTTTGACGTTCCTGCAAAAACGTATTATTAATGAAAATATTCCGTACTACTTGTTCATATAATCAATCGCGCTTGTTTGAAATATAATTTAATAAAATATTAAAATACTTCTTGTGTAGCAAAAAACTTGTGTGTAGTTTTTATGAGATCTTTCGCGTCAATCGTTTTAAGAAACTCGTAGGCGACTTTCGGATTTGATGTCGTTTTTCCAAGTTTCTCGGCAAGTTTAAAACTTTGATTCGTCGCTTTGTTCGTCCATTCATTGAAGGCCCACGGATTCGTGGCGACGCCGCTTTGTGATATTGCTTTATGGAATAAACCTGTAAAGTACAGTCGAATTTAGTTTAATATGTTAATTAACTGTTATAAAATCTTTCTTGCTGTTCTTTCAGTCTAGCTGTATACAGACAATATTTTAATATCCGATAAGTATCCGTCACTATTTTTTTTATCACTTTAGAATTGATTTAATTTTTAAGAACGTATTTCAGGAAAATCTGTTAGTTAATCCTATAAATTTGAAGTAGGCTTTAAAATTATATAGAAATATTTAACATTGAAATTGAAATTTTAAAAGTTATAAGTAAAAGTTCTTCTAAAATACATTTTACTTGAGATTGAGTTTACAGCAATAGATCAATCCGTTGAGAGAGAGAGAGAGAGAGAGAGAGAGAGGGGGGGGGGGTAAAAAGAACAAAGACTTGGGCAAACAATTCGTCATGTTTTATCTAAGAAAATTGTCTGCAAGTTTTTGTTAAGGAAAAAATCGTGTTTAAAATAACCAACGAATCTTTGAATATTAAATAGGATAAAATTTGCGGATTTTATATGATTGCGTAAATTGTACCTTCGCCTAATGGAGACAAAGTTAGATAATGCACGATAGCACCACCAGCACTTTCGCCAAAGATGGTGATGTTTTCCGTATCTCCACCGAATTGTGATATATTTCTCTGGACCCATCGTAATGCCATAACCACATCCTTTAGACCTTGATTACCCGTTGCCACTTTGTCGTTTAGATTCAAGAAACCTGAAGTAATTAATGGTCGTCTTTCATTTGCAAATTGGATTGAACGAAGAAGTTTAAAGTCTAAAGTTCGCACTGGAAAGATTACAAAACGCATATGTTGCATAATTTATCGAGCGAACGTGCAACGTACCGAGAGCCCCTAGTCTATAATTTAGCGTAACCAGTACTACATCCTTTCGAACAATATAATCAGGACCATATATAGCGGCATCGCCGGAACCCATGTCAAAACCACCACCATGTATCCATACCATAACTGGGCGTTTTTTTACAATATCTATAGTATATACGTTCAGGTAGAGGCAATCTTCATCACCTACTACTTCTCGGGTTAGAAAATCAATTTGAACAGCAATGTTCCCATATTTTGAAGCATCTTTGTCGCCAGACCATCTTTCTGGTGGCAGTGGATCCTGTAATTGTAGGGCAAAGTATAGTTGTAGATATTATCTTTGTTTGTAGAATTAATCTGGTATATTTTTTTCGTAACCAAAATGCGTGCGTGCAATTACAGCTTGTTTTAAATTTTGTAATATGTCCTACGATTGTGCTCCACGAGCACAAGTGTTTAGAGAAAGCTGACAAAGTTTCAATAGGTATAAATGATTGACACGTATCGATTCTTCACATCTCAAGGAAGTTTCTTATTCCGAATACTCGTACATTGGACATTTTATGCTATGTGTATCTATTTTGTCAAGCTAATAAGTTATGAAGGAAGCACAAAGTTCATCGTGTGAACAAATTGTTGAATAATATTATCGGCTGTAGTAATTTTTTATTTCCAAGTTTTTATAATCAATGGCGGCTTATAGACAATACGTAATAAAAATTTTCAAGTGCACAACATTTTCTTATGTATGCGTGCTTGAAATCGTGACACATCGAAAAACCTAAGCAGTAGAAGGCACGAAAAACCTTAGGCAGTAAATGAATCGACTAGTTAGAAGCGAGCATTCTCGAGAACGGTAGATTAGCTCGGAAAGAACGCTCGACTGTGATTGATCGATTTACCGCTTAAGTTCCACTGTTCATGTTCTTGTTTTTATGTGCTTCAGTTCCACGAATCTTATACAAAAAATACATTAACTTATACTAAAAATTAATTATTGTACCATTCGAAGTACGTTAAAAATCGTCGCTGTTGAATATCAATGTGTAAAGAATCTATTCGTATTATTTTAAATCAAAATTTTAATTTGTCACAAGTTACTAACTTGATAACACACCAAAATGATTTGCAAGCTACATGAAAATTATTTGCAGCTATAAAAAATTATCTAACAATATTAAATAATAAAGCTTGAGAGCATATTGAGAATTTTTTGTTCTACAAGGCTCTTTTTAATTCATATGTCACTGATATCTCGATTAGATTTTATAGTTAATTTTATATTTATATTTTTCTATAAATCATTGTCGGAATGTCACGCCAGTGTACATAAAATCCAAAGCGCAATAAATAATCGTGTAATCTGTCAATTTAATTAAATATGAAATAATGATCCGACAAGATAAATACTAGCCACTTTCTAAAATCAGTATCATTCAATTATAATTTCTTTAACTAACACTTTATATCTTTCTGGTTCAAAGTCTAAAGAAAGATAGATGAGAAGAAGCGAATTGTCAATTAAACCAAGATTAGAGTTAAACGTTTAGACTGAACGCGTCTATAGTGATGGAATGTTATTCACCTTGAATCTCAGTTCGCCAACCGGCGGCTTCGCGTACGGTATTCCTCGGAAGGCGACGTAATGACCGCCATGCACAGCTTCCTCAACGATACCGATTAATTTTCCCTCGCGCACGTATACGTCCACTCGCTTATTGTCCATGATGGATACGATAGAAGAATAAAGGAACGAAAGAACAACGTTAACGAACCTGCCGATCTACGTCGTACGTCCAGACACGATTATGCAACCATATATATACTCGTACGACTGAAGCCGGAGCATTGTGTAATGGCACGACTGGCTTTCTTCGAGGAGAGAGTGGGGATTAACTGAAGGAGAGGGTCACTGATTCGTCCTTTCTACGATATCATTATCGTATACCGGATAACCCGGACGGGGCAATATTATTTTGTGTAATAACATGTAAATACATGTATTCTCTCTTCTACTATAGTAATAAGCAATATGATAAACGGTGAATTTTTCACTTAAGAAAATCGCAAAGTAATGATAAAATAATATTTGCGTGTCAATTTTTCATACCATCAAAAAACTGGTATGTATCATTGAACTTTGAGAGAGGATAGATTCGTAAATCTTGTAAATCTTTTTCAACGTATATTAATGCCTTGGTTTGAAGTGTCTTTATTATTAATATTACTATGGCATATTTAAAATGGAAATAAACAGATAAAAAATTAGCTTATTAAACAAATATATCTTAACTGATAATATTTAAAATACTACTTTTAAAAAATGACATATGTTAAATAATCCAGAAATATAAACCTATAGATGAAATTGTCAATAAATTTCAAATTAATCTCGACTGCAAACATGAAAATAAAACCTGAAACTTGAAATGAATTATGAATAATATTTTATAATTTAATTACAATACATTTTTTAAGTTTAATTCGGAAAATATTTTTCATCTTTAATTTATATTTCAGAAACTATTATTTATAGTTTAAAAACTATTAACAATATGTCGACATTTTTGTTAATAAAAAATTATATCAATTTTACAAAGAAAACAGTCTTATTGTTAGTGTATAATTTGTAAAACACTTTTTACTGAACCAACTAGTCACTGAAACATGAATAATATGCTTCATCATAATTTTATTCTTTTTTTATATGCATACAATACATTTTAAGATGAAGAAAAAGAAACGTTATAAAAAATTGGATAAAGCATATTTGGTGTACATATTCATTTCTGCTGCCGAAAACGACATCTAACGTAGAACTTAGAACTAAAAATAATCGATAATTGACGCGATCTCCTATCTTATCGACACTAATCGAGTTCGCCAGCGGCTTTAAAGAGAGAATTTATAACTTTTTTTTATAAGTTTCCCAATTCCAGCGTTCTTTTCCTTTTAAAAAGGTTTTCATTTTTGGATTTATATCAATGTTTAGATAATTGTAGTCGTCGTTTTGTGACCCAGTTAATGGCAACCATAAATTTGTAGTAGGCGTTGGATTCCTAAAAATCGGTTTGAATTGATTATTAATATATATTTGTAAGGTTTTTGTAAAATAAGAAACAAGATTCTTGTACCCTGTTTTTGCAAAATCCGTCCACATTTGTACGAAATGATTCATCATTTTGTGATTATCTGAACCAGGTTCAGGTGGCGACATTTTTCCAAGTTCTGGGTAAAATAGGTAAAATAATTCTTCTGTGTGAGACACTCCTGCAAAATATTGTTATACTGGTAAATTGAAAATGCAGATTAAACGTTTACGTTTGAAATTTATATTTTTTTGTAAATGTTAAAAATTCTAAATATTAATTTATTTTGTCGAATAAGATCATTTTATCATTGCTTTATACACAATTATTACAAACCGAACAGAATTATGTAATATTTGTACCTAAAGATTCAGAGGCATCGCTGAGTGGTAAAAGTAAGTTTATACTTTTTAATATATGAAATTTTATATGGCTATACTAATTAATTAGCGACAGTATATACCTGGAAGTCCGATATTAAACACTTTTCTTGCAGGGGAAGTTTCGTTCTCATAATCGTAATGATACAAATATGTAGATTTGTAACAACCAGCAGATCTTTGGTGTTGAACTATATCCATTATACTCCGTACGTAAAATTCATCTCCTAAGAAATATCCATAATTTATCAGAGTTTCCTCTGACACGTCTTTTGTTCCAAAATATAAAGATCTTAATTCCTCAACAGTGATACCCATTTCAGGTAACTTGGATAAGACCGGTGGTAATATTGCTTTTTTAAAATCAGCATTTACTTGTTCCAGGTCTTCCTTGCTTATTTCTGAAAGGATTTTAAAGGCATGTTTGTATTGATCAGTTTAGAGAGATTATTTTTTTTATTATTCTGAAGAGAGAGAGAGAGAGAGAGAGAGAGAGAGAGAGAGAGAGATTTTCAATTATTATATACAGGATGTAACTTTCCTTTTCAGTTTAATCCGCTCTATTTGTATTCGAGCGGATGGACATCTTATCCGTAACATCCTGTATATATGTTATGTAAACTTGAAAGTTACAATAAAGTAAAATGTACTTTCTAATATTATATGAAAATATTTAAAACATTAAAACAACTTTTTAAATGTTGATAATACACATGTTAAATGTGAATGTTAAGAGCACATTCTTAGCAAATCACACTGCAAAGAAACTTGGGAAATAAGTAAAAGTGAAACAAATAAAGATGTATTTAGTGAAAGCATCAATATTTGAACAGTACCTCCGAAAGAAGTGCTGTTTAAAAAGAATATCCCTTCGTTACGTGTAAATCCTAGAAGGAAGGGCATTTGAATCCCACGAGATATATATTCCTTTGGATGTTCAGGGAAAAATGGATTCGATGACTCATAATCCAAAGTGGGTGTGAAGTATAGAGCAAAACTCAATCTCTCCTGATGATGTTATGAAAGAAAATGTGTTATTCACACCGTTTCCAAATGTAATCAGTTGAACTCGTATTCAAATATAAGCTAATAAAATCTTGAGATACTTCTTCTGTGTTAAGAGGTGTATGCGAAGCTTCTATAAGTTTCTTCGCATCAACAGTTTTTAGAAACTCGTAGGCGACTTTTGGATCTGAGGTTGCTTTTCCGAGTTTTTTGGCAAGCCGGAAACTCGTGTCCGTTGCTTTTGTCCATTCAGGAAAGACCCTAGGATTTAGACGGCCCACAACGCCGCTTTGTGAAATCACTTTATGGAATAAACCTGCAAGACACAGTCTTAATCAAATTAGTTTAATAGATTTATTATTGTAAAATCTCTTTCCTCTTCTTCAATTGTACAGTATGCAATTAAAAAATTTTGTCGGTTTCCTAAATTATTACATTAATTCTTTGACTAATTTGGTGTTATTTATTTTTTAATAATATTACTAGGGCAATTTATTAATCTCGTTTTTACAAATTTTCTAATTTAATACTAATATAGAATTGTAATTGAAGTAAAACTAAAAGTATGTAAAACTGAATAAAATCCTCTTAAAATGTTTTTTATGGAAAAAATAGACAGTTAATAGAATAATTTTGTTTTAATTGTTGTTAAATAAAATAATTTGTCTTTTATTCGGCTATTTTTTATTTTTTATTTTTTAATGCGTCAGTGCTTAAATGTTCTCATTAAAGAAAAAATCAAGTTAATCAATAAATCTATGATTAAATAGTATGACATTTGAAGATTCTGTATCGATAAGTTTGTAGGTTGTACCTTTAGCTAGTGGGGATAGACTTAGACAATGTGTTATGACTGCACCAACACTTTCGCCAAAGATAGTGACATTTCCTGGATCTCCACCAAATTCTGATATATTTTTTTGAACCCATTTTAACGCCATGACCACATCCTTCAGACCTTGATTACCTGTTGCCACTTTATCGTGGAGGTTCAAAAAGCCTAAAACAATTTAATTTTTTTTTGGTAAAACTTTAATATATTTAAGATAAAAATACATGTACCTACTGGTTTAGAGTGAAATGCAAAATTCTCTATTCTTTATAAATAACCTTCACTTTTATTACAGAAGGTATTTATTATGGTTTTATAAATATTTGCTGTAAGATTGTTTTAAACTGTACGGTCAACGGTCTAAAGGCCAACAAAAGAAGAATGTTTAAAATAAAATCCTCATTTTGCTCGTATTTTAAAAAGTGAGACAAGAGTTCCGCCATGTTTTGTTAGGTAAATGAAGTAGTATGTGTGCATCGGTGTGTCACTGACATGACTTAACTCGAACGTCTAGCAGTCTAGTAGTATATAGAAGTCTCTGCTTATAATGAGCTGAGCTATGTAGTAGCTATGTAAACTATTGATTTTTTTATTGATCTAAAAGAATATTTTACTCTCACTTAATATTCTTAATAACATGTAATAGAGTATAATATTCATTCTAACTATTTTCATTTTCTGTATTAACATTTAATTCTTAGTGTAGGCTAATATCTAACATAACATGTTAGTGAGCTACGATATATGGTTTGAAATATAAAAGATATAAGTCTCAGTGCATATTTACATCCGCTGAAGAAACTTGACTTGAACAAAAAAAAACGTAACATACAAGAAATACATCTCGAAATAATGGATAACATACCTAGAGGGCCTAATCTATAATTCAGAGTAACCAATACTACGTCCTTTTGTACGATATACTCGGGACCATAGAGAGATGCATCGCCGGAACCCATATAAAAGCAACCGCCATGTACCCACACCATAACTGTACGTTTTTTCGAAGGTTCGATTTTAGTGGTGTACACATTTAAATAGAGACAATCTTCATCGCCCTCAACTTTGCGTGTGAAAACGTTTATTTGAACGGCATTGTTTCCATATTTCGAAGCGTCTCTATCACCGGACCATGGTTCTGCTGGTACCGGATCCTAAATATAAAAAACTTATATGTTAGTCTTGTTCATTAATGCCTAGACCTGCGTTTTATCATCATTTTTCTCGTCTATACAAATCACTGAGTTTCAGGCTGTTCGTATGTACATACATACATACTACCGCAGACTTCTATAGAAGCTGTGCGAACTACATATAGCCTGAAACTAATCGATGTATAGATGGGAATAAAGATTATAAAAATGTGAATCCTAGTAAAACTGTGATCCAGGCATTAATGAATAAGACTGTACATAACAATTGTTATATTTACTTTTAACAAAAGATATAGCTCTAGTAAAAGAAATATATTACAAAACTTGTAGGTTATCGCAATTAATTAGTAAACATTAAGAGAAAATTGAGATGTATTTTCACTAATTCTAATTCTAAGATAGATCAGCTAAAGTTCATCTTTTATTGTTGTTGAAAAATCCACTACAGCGTGCTTATAACAAGACTCTGTACTTACCTTAAATCTGAGGTCACCAATCGGAGGTTTAGCATATGGTATTCCACGAAAAGCAATGTAACGGACATTGCAATTATTTACAACGATACCAATCAATCTTCCTTCATTCACACGTATTTCAATTTTATTCATGATGGATATACTGAAAGAATAATAAGTTAGAACAACGTTAAAAAATCTGCTTTTACCGTTATAACAATATTTACTCACACAGCAAAGTATCAAAAGTAACAGTGTCTCGCGCCAAGTGTACGCACAGCAAGACTGATCGTGTATCTTGACTACCGAGACTTGAATATCTAAACTAAATAGTTGTTACGCAATATGATATTTATAGATATCTCTCAGATGTCGTTTTGATTCTACTGTGTGGGTGTAAATATGTTTGTTTTTAAAATACGCATTGACACATCGGTTTAACATATAGTTTCTATTTTTATATTATAGTTATATATTCTTGTATTACTTATGATAATATTTCAACCTAGGGGTAAACCGCAGACCAAAATAAGTACACAAGTAAGTGGACTATCGAGAAACTACTGACGAACTGCCGCTGCAATCCGAGAGTTTCGTTTTATATGTGACTAATCGTAAGATAAGATTTTATCGCTTCTACGGAAATTTCCTACGAAAATTATGTTTTCAACACTAATATCTTGGTCATTAGCATAGACATACATATATATATAGATCCAGCGTTCTGTGAGTGGAGTTGTCCGCGTCTTCTAAAGGACAGAACGATATACAGGGTGAGTCTTTCCATATCCGACAAAATTTTTGAGAAGGTAGAACGGATCGAGATGAACGGAAAAGTCCTGTACCATTTTGTAATTTTCGTAATAGTTAACGAGTAATTAATTATTAAAAATCGTTGTCTTAGGCCGGCCTACCGCCCAATTCGAGCGCGTAGCGAGATGTGACCGCCCGGCGATCGATAATGCCAGGCTAGGGGGGGAGGGGGGGGGACAGCGCGCCGTTGCCGGCGAGTTGTTTACGTCGCCGCTCCCGCGTCTCGCGTCCCTATCCCTCGCCTGGCAATATCGATCGCCGTGCGGTCACATCTCGCTACGCGCTCGAATTGGACAGTGGGCAGGGCAAAGACGACGATTTTCGATAATTTATTTCTCGTTAACTATTGCGAAAATTGCAAATGGTTCAGGACTTTTCTGTTCATCTCGATCCGTTCTACCTTCTCACGAGCTCTGGGACAAATGTTATAACTCACCCTGTATATTTAACCCGGGTTAACTGTTCTGTAGAGCAGATAATTTTCCATCATTTGTAAGTCCATACGCACACAAGAATATTGTGCTTTACAGAAATACGCAAACCCGATACAAACTTATTTTCTTCATAACTTTTTAACAAACAATGAGCGACGGGAATGGGCAATGACCTTGACCTCCTTGGGGGTCAAGGTCAACATCAAGGTCAAACGGAAGTTGATTGGCGCGTGCTATGTAAAGGGAAATATTTACCAAGAAAACAGTCTTAGTGTATAATTTGTAAAACACTTTTTACTGAACCAACTAGTCACTGAAACATGAATAATATTCTTCATCATAATTTTATTCTTCTTTTATATGCATACAATACATTTTAAGATGAAGAAAAAGAAACGTTATAAAAAATTGGATAAAGCATATTTGGTGTACATATTCATTTTTTATATATTGAACAAAATGTACTGAAAGAGAAAATAAATTTTAATAGATACGATTTTAACAGATAGAGAGAGAATTTATAACTTTTTTTTATAAGTTTCCCAATTCCAGCGTTCTTTTCCTTTTAAAAAGGTTTTCATTTTTGGATTTATATCAATGTTCAGATAATTGTAGTCGTCGTTTTGTGACCCAGTTAATGGCAACCATAAATTTGTAGTAGGCGTTGGATTCCTAAAAATCGGTTTGAATTGATTATTAATATATATTTGTAAGGTTTTTTTTATAAAATAAGAAACGATATTCTTGTACCCTGTTTTTGCAAAATCCGTCCACATTTGTACGAGATGATTCATCATTTTGTGATTGTCTGAATCAGGTTCAGGTGGCGACATTTTTCCAAGTTCTGGGTAAAATAGGTAAAATAATTCTTCTGCGTGACTCACTCCTGCAAAATATTGTTATACTGGTAAATTGAAAATGCAGATTAAACGTTTACGTTTGAAATTTATATTTTTTTGTAAATGTTAAAAATTCTAAATATTAATTTATTTTGTCGAATAAGATCTTTTTATCATTGCTTTATACACAATTATTACAAACCGAACAAAATTATGTAATATTTGCACGTAAAGATTCAGAGGCATTGAATGGTAAAAGTAAGTTTATACTTTTTAATATATGAAATTTTATATGGCTATACTAATTAATTAGCGACAGTATATACCTGGAAGTCCGATATTTAACACTTTTCTTCCAGGGGAAGTTTCGTTCTCATAATCGTACTGATACAAATATGTAGATTTGTAACAACCAGCAGATCTTTGGTGTTGAACTATATCCATTATACCCCGTACAAAAAATTCATCTCCTAAGAAATGTCCATAATTTATCAGAGTTTCCTCTGACACGTCTTTTGTTCCAAAATATAAGGATTTTAATTCCTTAACAGTGATACCCATTTCAGGTAACTTGGATAAGACCGGTGGTAATATTGCTTTTTTAAAATCAGCATTTACTTGTTCCAGGTCTTCTTTGCTTATTTCTGAAAGGATTTTAAAGGCATGTTTGTATTGTTCAGTTTAGAGAGATTATTATTATTTTTTATTATTCTGAAGAGAGAGAGAGAGAGAGAGAGAGATTTTCAATTTTTATATGCAGGATGTAAATTTCCTTTTCAGTTTAATCCGCTCTATTTGTATTCGAGCGGATGGACATCTTATCCGTAACACCCTGTGTATATGTTATGTAAACTTGAAAGTTACAATAAAGTAAAATGTACTTTCTAATATTATATGGAAATATTTAAAACATTAAAACAACTTTTTAAATGTTGATAATACACATGTTAAATGTGAATGTTAAGAGCATTTTCTTAGCAAATCACACTGCATAAAAACTTGGGAAAGCAGTAAAAGTGAAACAATTAAAGATGTATTTAGTGAAAGCGTCAATATTTGTACAGTACCTCTGTAAAAGATGCTGTTTAAAAAGAATATCCCTTCGTTACGTGTAAATCCTAGAAGGAAGGGCATTTGAATCCCACGAGATATGTATTCCTTTGGATGTTCAGGGAAAAATGGATTCGATGACTCATAATCCAAAGTGGGTGTGAAGTATAGAGCAAAACTCAATCTCTCCTGATGATGTTATGAAAGAAAATGTGTTATTTACACCGTTTCCAAATGTAATCAGTTGAACTGGTATTCAAATATAAGCTAATAAAATATTGAGATACTTCTTCTGTGTTAAGAGGTGTATGCGAAGCTTCTATAAGTTTCTTCGCATCAACAGTTTTTAGAAACTCGTAGGCGACTTTTGGATCTGAGGTTGCTTTTCCGAGTTTTTTGGCAAGCCGGAAACTCGTGTCCGTTGCTTTTGTCCATTCAGAAACGGCCCAAGGATTTCCCACAACGCCGCTTTGTGAAATCACTTTATGGAATAAACCTGCAAGACACAGTCGTAATCAAATTAGTTTAATAGATTTATTATTGTAATATCTCTTTCCTCTTTTTCAATTGTACAGTATGCGAATAAAAAATTTTGTCGGTTTCTTAAATTATTACATCAATTCTTTGACTAATTTGGTGTTATTTATTTTTTAATAATATTACTAGGGCAATTTATTAATCTTGTTTTTACAAATTTTCTACTTTAATACTAATATAGAATTGTAATTGAAGTAAAAGTATGTAAAACTGAATAAAATCCTCTTAAAATGTTTTTTATGGAAAAAATAGACAGTTAATAGAATAATTTTGTTTTAATTGTTGTTAAATAAAATAATTTGTCTTTTATTCGGCTATTTATTATTTTTTATTTTTTAATGCGTCAGTGCTTAAATGTTCTCATTCAAGAAAAAATCAAGTTAATCAATAAATCTATGATTAAATAGTATGACATTTGAAGATTCTGTATCGATAAATTTGTAGGTTGTACCTTTAGCCAGTGGAGATAGAGTTAGACAATGTGTTATGCCTGCACCAGCACTTTCGCCAAAGATAGTGACATTTCCTGGATCTCCACCAAATTCTGATATATTTTTTTGAACCCATTTTAACGCCATGACCACATCCTTCAGACCTTGATTACCTGTTGCCACTTTATCGTGGAGGTTCAAAAAGCCTAAAACAATTTTTTTTTTCATAACTTTAATATATTTAAGATAAAAGTACATGTACTGGTTTAGAGTGAAATGCAATTCTCTATCCTTTATAAATAACCTTCACTTTTATTACAGAAGGTATTTATTTTGATTTTATAAATATTTGCTGTAAGATTGTTTTAAACCGAGGGGGAAACCGCTGAGGGCATTGTGGTGTACAGATTTGCGGCATTACTGGGCATTACTAGGACATTTTTTGGACATTACGTTTTGCTGGGGCATTATAAAGATAAAATAAGATACAATAAGATAAAATAAGATAAAAGAAGATAAATAAAATAAAAGAAGATAATAAGATAAAGTAATGCCCACTGGGCATTAATGGGTCAATGTACAAGATTTTGGTCAGCGGTTTCCCCCTCGTTTTAAACTGTACGGTCAACGGCCTAAAGGCCAACAAGAGAAGAATGTTTAAAATAAAATCCTCCTTTTGCTCGTATTTTAAAAAGTGAGACAAGAGTTCCGCCATGTTTTGTTAGGTAAATGAAGTAGTATGTGTGCATCGGTGTGACACTGACATGGCTCAACTCGAACGTCTAGCAGTCTAGTAGTATATAGAAGTCTCTGCTTATAACGAGCTGAGCTATGTAGTAGCTATGTAAACTATTGATTTCTTTATTGATCTAAAATATTTTACTCTCACTTAATATTCTTAATAACATGTAATAGAGTATAATATTTATTCTAACTATTTTCATTTTCTGTATTAACATTTAATTCTTAGTGTAGGCTGCTAATATCTAACATAACATGTTAGTGAGCTACGATATATGGTTTGAAATATAAAAGATATAATAACATCGGTGAGTTTTGTCGACCGTGTCTGGCAATTAAAATTCTTATTGCGAAAAATATTACCCCAGCCAGGATTCGAACCTGGGACCTTCCTACAATCCGTGACGGGCGTCTTAGCCAGCTCGACCACCGGAGCTGTGATAATACTATTCGCAATAACGTGTATGTATAACTTTTTAAGATGTTGTTTACTCGTCTATTTCGACTTTTCAGAAACTGTGCGTCGATACGGATTGTCGACCGCACAATAACTTGTCGATACGCGATTTTTAAAGGGGAGGTCCTAGGTTCGAATCCTGGCTGGGGTAATATTTTTCGCAATAAGAATTTTAATTGACAGACACGGTCGACAAAAACTCACCGATGTTATTAATTTATAATTACTGCTGGCGACTTTAAGAATATTCTTAATAATAAAAGATATAAGTCTCAGTGCATATTTACATCCGCTGAAGAAACTTGAACAAAAAAAAAACCGTAACATACAAGAAATACATCTCGAAATAATGGATAACATACCTAGAGGGCCTAATCTATAATTCAGAGTAACCAATACTACGTCCTTTTGTACGATATACTCGGGACCATAGAGAGATGCATCGCCGGAACCCGCATAAAAGCCACCGCCATGTACCCATACCATAACTGTACGTTTTTTCGAAGGTTCGATTTTAGTGGTGTACACATTTAAATAGAGACAATCTTCATCGCCCTCAACTTTGCGTGTGAAAAGATTTATTTGAACGGCATTGTTTCCGTACTTCGAAGCGTCTCTATCACCGGACCATGGTTCTGCTGGTACCGGATCCTAAATATAAAAAACTTATATGTTAGTCTTATTCATTAATGCCTGGACCTGCATTTTATCATCATTTTTCTCGTCTATATAAATCACTGAGTTTCAGGCTGTTCGTATGTACATACATTCATACACACCACCGCAGACTTCTATAGAAGCTGTGCGAACTACATATAGCCTGAAACTAATCGATGTATAGATGGGAATAAAGATGATAAAAATGTGAATTCTAGTAAAACTGTGATCCAGGCATTAATGAATAAGACTGTACATAGCAATTGTTATATTTACTTTTAACAAAAGATATAGCTCTAGTAAAAGAAATACAGGGTGTACTAAAACCACCGGAGATGACAGATTCCTTAGAACATTTCCAGACGAAAATCCTAATACAAAAGTGTCGAGGCTATAATAGTTTTTAAATTAGAAGCGATTATTTTCCACAAATGATAGGGCTGAAATTTCGCGCGCTCAGGTACGGCGAAATGACAAGTGATATAAGTGCTCCTATGAATATCGCTCTTTTTATGATGTTATGTTTATTGTATAAATTTACAATATCACTTGTCATTTCGCCGTGCCTGAGCGCGCGAAATTTCAGTCCTATCATTTGTGGAAAAAAATCGCTTCTAATTTAAAAACTATTATAGCCTCGACACTTTTGTATTAGGATTTTCGTCTGGAAATGTTCTAAGGAATCTGTCATTAAGAGGACCTCCGGTGGTTTTAGTACACCCTGTATATTACAAAACTTGTAGGTTATCGCAATTGATAAGTAAACATTAAGAGAAAATTGAGATGTATTTTCACTAATTCTAATTCTAAGAAAGATCAGCTAAAGTTTATCTTTTTATTGTTGTTGAAAAATCCACTATAGCGTGCTTATAACAAGACTCTGTATTTACCTTAAATCTGAGGTCACCAATCGGAGGTTTAGCAAATGGTATTCCACGAAAAGCAATGTAACGGACATTACAATTATTTACAACGATACCAATCAATCTTCCTTCATTCACACGTATTTCAATTTTATTCATGATGGATATACTGAAAAAATAACAAGTTAGAACAACGTTAAAAAATCTGCTTTTGCCGTTATAACAATATTTACTCACACAGCAAAGTATCAAAAGTAACAGTGTCTCGCGCCAAGTGTACGCACAGCAAGACTGATCGTGTATCTTTACGCGAGCCGATGAGTTCAGAGATCTTTGGATTACCGAATCTCAATAACGGCAGAATCGGTTCAATTCTGAGTGGATATCCGAGACTTGAATATTTAAACTGAATAGTCGTTACGCAATATGATATTTATAGATATCTCTCAGATATCGTTTTGATTCTGCTGTGTGGGTATAAATATGTTTGTTTTTAAAATACGCATTGACACGTCGATTTAAAATATAGTTTCTATTTTTATATTATAGTTATATATTCTTGTATTACTTATGATAATATTTCAACCGAGGGGTAAACCGCTGACCAAAATCATGTACACCAATGCCTACTAATGCTCAGTGGGCATTACTTTATCTTCTTATCTTGTCTAATCTTATTTTATCTAATTTTACCTTATTTGATCTTTATAATGCCCGAGTAAGGCTTAATGCTTAAACTAATGTCCAAAAAAGCCTAGTAATGCTCACACAGTTGAAAAATTTATGTTAAATTTAACAGATATTACACGTCCCAAAAAAACGGTCCACACAAATTTTTGTGTTAATTTAACATAATATGGATATGTTAAATGATCACACTAATACTCTGTTAATATTTTAACACAAAATAAATGCAAATCTCAAAATAATTTAAAATAAATTTTGTGTAAAATTAACATATTTGTAATGACAAAATGAATTTAAAAAATGTAATTTTTACATTTTACAGATGTAATAACTCAAATGACGGTAAGAAATCACTCTCACTTATGTTTTATAGAATAAAATCAATATTTTATTCTGTAAATTGGAACATATAAATCTTGTTAGTAATGATATAGAACATATGTATTGTGTAAGATTAAAAAATAAGTACACTTTGTGTGGTTTTAACATTTTTTTTTCAGTTATTTTAATAATTTTACATTTGAGGTTAATTAACACAAGAGCAATATGTTAAATTAACACATGAATGTGTTAAATATTTAACAAAAATTTTAACCGGCATTTGTTTTTAAAGAAAACACAAATTTTTTTACTGTGTAGTACACCACAATGCCCTCAGTGGTTTATCCCTCGATTTCAACTAATATTAATATCATTTATGTGAAACATAAGTCTTTGAACAATTAAAAATTGATAGGGCTCTAATGTGAAATCACAGATATGAATTAATAAAGGAGTAAGAACCAAGACAGTTTATTGCGAAAAATAATATCTCAGTCAGGGTTTGAACCTGGACCTCCCTACTCACTAGCGGGCGTCTGTCCAATTCGACTACCGAGGCACGTGGTAATATTCATCGCAATAAACAATCTAACGATATTTCACGAAAGTCACATATCGTGAGTGAATCCGAAATAGAACTGCGCGCCGACACATTTGTCAGTCTTACAACTCAGAACAAATATAAAGTCCCCTTATTGCCTTCTCACCCTCCCCCATATATCTAATGAAATGAAGAACCTTTTTCCTTATCCAACGTAATTTATACAATTAATAAATTCATAAGGCTCTAATAAATCTTTGAAATTTTCAGATAATCACAACCGTATTTTATTTCTTATATTATCAGATTTTTCTAGTCAATAAACGTGTTTACGATGCGCGATTTCATTCGATTTAATCAAATGTTTCCGTTATCTTGTTGTTTCGTGAGTGTTTTCATTTTTGATTGACACTGATAAAGACGGTATATAATAATCAAGTCATGTTCTCTGAATTAAACGAAGATATTTGACGGGTTATGTGGGCCACGTTGTCGATACACAAACGATACAATCTTCAAACAAAATATGTTTGTAAGATTCACCATAATTTTTTTTTTAAAAAGAACTTCCCAGCAAACACAAAGTAACAGTTACATAACTGTAAGTTAACATTTCCTACTCAACAACATAACTGTTACATAACACACGTGTTATATAACTGTTATATAACACGTGTGTTATATAACTGTTATATAACACGTGTGTTATGTAACAGTTATGTTGTTGAGTAGGAAATGTTAACTTACAGTTATGTAACTGTTACTTTGTGTTTGCTGGGTTATTTCTTTAATTTGAAAACAATATTAGTACTTATAATTAATTATATGTATACTGACGTACACAAATCAAGTAAGTGGACTATCGAGAAACCACTGACGAACTGCCGCTGCAGTCCGAGAGTTTCCTTTTATATGTATGTGACAAATCGTAAGATAAGATTTTATTGCCTCTATGGAAATTTCCTACGAAAATTATGTTTTCAACACTAATATCTTGGTCATTAGGCGTATCTAATGATTAAGTACTTTTCTCATGGTGTTTCGCGTATCGACTCATGGTTTCCGAAAAATAAAGCCTTTTATATATAAGGTATATAAGTAGTGTTAGCAAAGCGTTGATCGTGGCATCATTGCAGTTATTTTATCGTGAATGCGATAAATTGTGAAAGGATATTTTAATTATCATAATGGAAAATTAGTTACGATATAAAGGGCGTTTATAAAAAAGAAAGTGTTAGACCAGAAGCGAAAACGCAAAGAACACTTAACCAAAAAAAAAAAACAACAAAGAGAATGGCATAACCTACGTTGCCACATCCGCAAAGCATTACCGTGCACGAAAAAGTTAACCTAGCCAAATTTTTCTTTGGATTTATCATACTTTGATACCGTACGGTCAGCGCCGTTGAAATTTAAATATGCATTTCTTTAAAAGTTCAACTACTTTCGCTCGATTTTTTGCTTCAATCCTTATTATAGATTTTTCGCTACTGACAAATACATGTCCAAGTGTTGGGTTTTCTACCTCAGCAACCAATGGTGATAAACGAAATGTTAAAAACAGTTAATTTTAAGTGATATATCTCGGAAATTATACGATAAATCAAACCCAACTTTTACACACATACGTATTAGTATCTAAATTAGTTTTGCTGCAAGTTTAAAGAAAATCTGTAACTTTATCATTTTTTACCTAACTACCTTAATAAATGTATCAGGCATAAATATGCAATTTATCGCGTAACATTCAATTTTATCTATTATGTACGATTTTTTTATCATTGTGTCTGTAAGAGTTTTACCGTGGGACTTTTTTATTTTTTGCAAACATAAATCTCTTTCAATTTGTACATATTAAAAAAAATTGAATATATCAATAAACTTATTGATTACATATTTATTATATTTTTTAAGCTTATCTTTAATATTGACTCTATTTTCAAAGTAAAAGAGTAAAATTGAATACGAATACGAATTCGTAATCCTTCATTCAATCTCTTTCCTTCTTTACGTGCTAGAAGAGAAGAAATGGTCTGGTAAAATGGAACATCTCAGATATAGCCCGCTTCTCTACTTTAGTGCTTAATGGATCGCGTTACGGTTACGCTGAGCTAAAAAGTTTTTAGGCTATCAAAAACAAAAATCTAATTGCAAGGAATGCTCGGACCTCCATGTAGAAACTCTTTTTATACCCAAGTATGATTTTACTATTGCGATACTCAACATTATTTTTACGAAAGACTGCAGTAAGTGACTTGTAAACAACTACTGTGTACAAAAAATCATTATAATTACTTGTCGAAGATTAGATTCGCAGAGAATGAATCACATCGCGGGGACGTATAATGAAATTATCGCAGCAGTTTCTTGAATAATTTACAATACTTTCTAGAATTGCATTTCAGTTGTACACACGGAGAAGGATAGTGCTTTTAGAGTGACACTTGGTCGCGCTATATAGCTCTGGCCTCGTCGTCGCGAAAAGACTAACACTGACGAGAAAATAGGTCATTCTACGCTGATATTCGCGAAGAGAACCTTTAGTATTTTGCGCAAAGTAAATAAAAGTAAACGAAAAGTAAATAAATCAGCTGCGAATGATATATCCCTCCCGCGTTAAAACTTGCGGCGTGTGTTAGAATGAAAGAAAAGAAAAAGAAAAAAAACCCGCAAGGTGCAACGTGATCGTTGGAAAGCGCATATTTACATACACTAATGTGTTTGACAAACGCATTGAAACTTGACCATACTGAAAAGATACAACCACTCCCCTTCGGTATTAAAACATCTTATTGTTGTTTTTACGAATGTATTCAAGAAGCATAATAATCCGATTTTGCTTTTGTATGATCCACGTTATATATCGAGGGCTCAATTTATAATGTGCAGAACGTGTACAGATTTTTGATTTCAGAATTTTTGCGACGGATAGTGTCGAGCGCAACCGTATAAACTTTGCGACGGTTTCTATGGGTATAAGTGAACGTTGTGAAAATCCGGGAGCAACGAAGCGAATATCGATTAGCTCCGCGTTAAAATGTACTCTCAACGTTATTCGCCGAAACGGGTGCGGTTCTATATCCGATTTAAATTCTCAATAAAAAAGCGAAGATTCGATAACCACCCAAGATCAAATGTAAATTTGGCCTGGACGTTACACGCATAAAAGTAGGTCGGATAGCGATTAACTATCCATTTTTGCAAGGTACTTTGGAAGCTTCTTCTAATGCCGTGACACGCATTTCTATGAAATAAAAATCTCGGCGAGAATTTTTTCCCCGAGCTAACCGGACGGTGCTTTACGAATACGTCGCGCACCGTCTCTCCCAGACATCGACAACTACGCAAACACTAATTAACTACTCCTCTTCCCCTGATTCATGATCTATTAGCGTCGAATCTGCAGCTAAGCACTCGCTGTCCTCGAACGGATGCGGCGAATTGATACGCTCGCGCGTGAGATCGCTCGAGAGCGTTATCGATCCTTCATGGGTAACACCGCGCCGTCGTCGGCGTCATCGCGCGATGTATCAGTATCGGCGAAACAGCTACCGGAACTTTCGCGCGAGCACTATGACGATATTAACAAAGTTTCGCGATGCTGCTCGATTCAGTTCAAAGTACTTGATAGCCAAGATATCCGAGGTATGATATCGATCCGCTACTTACATCATCTCTCTCGGATCGTTGTGCGTTTTACGCGCATCGTGCAAATCTCTCGCGAACGAGCGAATCGGTTACTCCCAGACAAACTCTTTTTTTTTTCTCTCGCCGGACCAATCATTTCGTACACAATATGCACAATCATTCTTTCTCGACTGTGCACAAACGCTCGCCTGATTGCATGACCCGAACCGGGCCCGCTCCTTTTTGGGGGAAAAAAAATATTTCGGTACCAAACTTTTCTGCCTTTG